CTAAGAGGAAAAATAAACCTGGTGTTGTGGCCTTGATAAAACGGAAATGGAAAACCACAGCCCCAAGTCCTATTTTTCAGACATTAAAATAATGCTACTTGTAAATATTCAGTAGTCACCATGTTAACTATAAAATACATATGAAGGGTTCGTGGTGAAGGGGCAGTAAAAGGAGGTTCCGATCAACAACTGCACAAAGTTGCGCACTCAGTCCTAAGAACCCCCGAGGAATACTTGTGGGCAACACTTTAGAGATACAGTATTCCCTGAATCTCAAGACACCGTTACAAAAACCTTTTCGGAAAATTGGATCAAAAGTAGTCGATCCTGGCTATCTCGTCTTTTCACCGTTCCTTCTTCATTACTGATAACTTGTGGCCATGCCATTTGAGATTATTCTAGATCATGACTCCAAGAAAAACTGAGTGCGCGTGTTCCTCTCCTCCACTCAGATCGATGAAACGACACTTCAAATAACATATATACCTTCATTTATTTTTGGTGTTTAAGTAAAATCTATGGATTCTCATAGGAAAGATTGGCAAGACATGTAGTCCTTATGGCCTGTCCATGGGAACTTACGTCTCCTATCCTAGTACTATTTGAAATTACACGGTATTTGATATCAAAAAGATTAGTAAACCGTTAATTCTAAAAATATGACGCATGGTAACCTGTTCAAATCCTTATAATGTGCACTTACACCCTAACTTGCGCCTGTGGAGTAAGTAGTATTTTATGATTAATCTCTTCTCATTTAAAAGCATATTAAAAGAGATTGAATGAAGGCGTTGTGAAATTCAGCATCTAGAGACTTTTGTGCGTATGGGTTTTGAGAACTCTAAACAATAAGAGGTTGTTCGAAATTTCTGCTGCAGGATCAAAGCAACCATAATTTCAACAGGTACATGCAATATAACGGTTATAAAAATTTGTGTAAACTTGTTAAAAACCTGCACCGAAGACAATCAGTGAAGGTCTTGTGCATAACACAAAAGAAAAAAACCTGGTGCAAAGCACAGCTAAAGGGAATGCCTTCTCTTTTGCCGAAGTAAGCATTTGATAAAAAGAGACTAAAATGGAAAAGTATACAAGCTGGCATATAGGACTTCTCAAGAACTTCAACCATACTTAATTCAACATTGTAGGAGTAGGAAAAGGGTTTATACACGTGCGTCTCAACAATGCCCTACCTTGGGAATGTGTGCGTTTGATTCTGAAATCGAGTCGGATGGCTGACCAGTTGCCATGTTTTCCTTATCGGCGCAAGATAAAGTCTTTAGTCCGAGATCATTGTGAAGCTGCTCGATGAGGGCCACCGGGAAGTTGTCTGCAACTATCTCGAAGGCGAGTGTACGCAAACCGTCACCATCGAAAGCTGTGCTCGCCAGGGCTTTAGCGCTTTTGGAATCTGAAAAAAAGTGACAAAACAACCAATCAGAAGAAAGGAATGAAATTTCCAGCTCTTGAGATAGAAAATTCGTCGAGAAATTTCGAAGCACTACACACTGTTCAGACTTTCATTCGACGCTATCTAGCAACAATAACGTTAAACTGAAATTGTATTCAGTCCCGCTACAACCCACAGACGGGGTCGGACGTGACCAAATACCCTGTGTGCCACGACGCCCACTATTGCAAAGAAAAACGACCAAAGATGACGCCTCCCCCGCAGTATCCACCTTTCCTGTCCTTGTCCACCCTCGTATCGTGCCAAACACTTCGCCCTTTTCCCCCTAAAAGAACTTTCGAGGCACCTGCTGGACACTTTTGTGGTGCGACGACCTACAGGCGCTGTCCGTTTGAAAATTGAAGAATGTTGCAATTTAAGGAAGATAATCTGCAAAATGACCAGTGCCAATGCCGCACAAGCTACATTAGGGAAGAGATATTGTAATTTGACTCTCTATCCTGAGGAGAGGAGGAAAAGTTATTTCGTCGGTTGGCAGTCTTCCAAACCATGGATTTTAGCGCAAAGTGATAGGTTAAAGACGCGTCAAGGGAGAAATTTGCACCAAGTGCTGAAGGACAGAGTTCCCAGAGCCGACATCATACTTCTTCCCAGGCACCAGTTGACCGTCCGAGCCGGCCGGCCATCTGATGTGAGGATTGGACGCAGGTAGCCGGCGCGACGGAAACTTGCGTCTAGAAGTGTTACTTCAACAGCCTGCGCAGCCCACGTTGAATAACGCTTAGGGCGATCTGTTGGTCCAGCGCAGTTACCCCAAAGTCCGTTAAAATAACACAAAATTCTAATCCAATATTTGCATTAAGACTCCGATTGAAACCATTCGGGAATAGGCTTATACTAGTTGATCAAAGTGAAATGCGCATTCTCGGACATGCATGAAAATAAGAGCTTCTGTTTTGACTTCTGAAGGTAAAGCAAACGAAACGATATAATTTACCGTTCGAAATTCATTTCTTTCGGGTACCAAAATTAGAAAATTCGGACCCTAGGGACACAGCAAACACGTGAACCGTACTAACGCAGACTTCATATTTTCAACCCCGTAAGAGAGCCCTGTAGGGGCCAACAAAACGACTTTGATGAAAAAAGAATCTGTCCAGTGACTGTTGTGACCTTAGCAGGCCTACCAGCAGTATAAATGACTTAAGCTGTCCTTTAATGACTTGTAAATGGGAACCTAAACAGCAAACATACGCTAAATACTGTTCCAAAGCCTGTCGCATATATAAACGCAAAATAATCTATAAATAAATAAACCGAGCCTCCCCGAAGCGGTGATGGCGAAAACGATCGACAATGGTAACACAGTCGCTTTGAGCGTAGTTAATAAAGAAACTATTGGAAGGAGGAAGTTTTTTGTAGCAGTTCAGATGGGAGCCTTAAAAATGAAAAAAATGCCTCAAAAAAGCGGTCATTGTCAAGATAACATTTTACACTATAATTTCTCTAATACACCCGTAAATACAAGGTTTTGTGGCTCAGGCAGGCTTATGTGATCCTGTGGTTGAGCAAGAAGGCCTTGTAGTGAACGTTTAGGAAAAAGACAAATGCCAAGTTTCAAACATAAAGATTCGGACAGGTGTTCGGGCTTACCGGACGCAAAGAGGGGTGCAGACGCTGAGGATTGACTCTGGACGGACAGCAGGGAATGGAGGAGTTTACGTTCACCGGATGTGGAGAGTTCATTTGCGAATCTGCAAATATTGTCCACGCGTTGCTTTAGCCAGACCTTCAGTTTATCTTGGTTCAATCGGACTACGTTATGGGAACCGACAGCTGTAGGCGACAGAGAAGAGTAAAGGGTCTAAAAATCTGGCAACGTTGTAAAAATGAAGGTGATTTGAAAGTGATAGAAGTAGCGAAAAAGTGCAATCGCTTTCGACAGCCTCGCTATGAAGACTCGATAAAAAGTTTACCAAACACCATCTCTATAAAATTGTATTGCTCGGGTGACTCTCAGTCAATTCGACATCATCAGCTCGCACACTCAGACGGAGGATGTGTTCTCCCCAAATAGATAGCAATGTGAGGTCATTAAAACACCATGATAAGGACTTATAAGGTAATTTCGTTGGGCGATAAACTACTTATCGTAGGACAGGATACGGAGAAAATCTAAGTACTGATTGCGATTATGTTTTAATATCGAAAGAAAACGGACCTGATTGAAAAGTCGTACAAATAAACGCTGAATCTGATTGCATCAATGGGTTAGGAGTTACTATCCGACAGAAAATCCTCTCCTACATCGCAATACGTTACCCAGACTCGTACTTAATGTTTTTTATTAATCACTTAGGGCTATTCGTAGTCTGGTATTTTTTAAATCTTTTCCACCACTGCTGTCGTGCTTTCTTATCCCCTTAAATACTACATTACTTTATACCACCCAATAGTCTGTCTGTCCGATAGACCGTGAAAACTAACCTGCACTGTTTCGATAAAGGTATTGCGCAAGTGTACGTTACCTCAACCCATTAGAAGACATCGAAATTGCTTATATGTCTTGCAGCCCTAAAGCTAATCCCGAAAATAGCGTGGAGGACGTTGACAAAGACGCCCGAATACTCCGATAGTCGTGACTGAAGATTTTTAATACCCTAGATCCGGGGTCGGCAACCCATGGCTCGCGAGCCAGGTGTGGCTCTTTCGATGATTGCGTCTGGCTCTCTCGGATAAAATTGGAATTAGAAACTTCAGATTTTGTGATTTTGGTTCCTTCATGAATAAATCCAGAGGCTTACTATACTCTTAAGATATACAACATGGCTCTCACTGAAATATACTTTCAAATATTTGCTTTCTTGGCTCTCTGGGTCAAAAAGGTGGCCAACCCCTGCCCTAGATAAACTAACTCCACGATTACAGTTTACTATAAAATGTGCGAACAAGTTCGCTCCAGGAGAATATATAGTTAGCTAGAAATCCGCTTGAGGGAAGATGACCCTAGTGATTACAGCATTTGTTAAATCTGACCAAGCATCCAAGAGTTTTTGGATTTCTGTAAAAGTCCCTAACCATTACTAAAAGCTTAATAGCTTTAAACAATTAGCAATTAGCTAAGCAATTATCAAGGCTTCTCCTGCGGGATTCGGGAACACATAGCGTTTAATCCCTATTATATAAATTCCACAAGCTACCAGAAATCAGGTGCTCGCGGTTGCGCTATAAACGCCATGGGAGATTTTAAGGCGTGTTCACACTCGTGGCCGAATTCGATGGTGAAAGTGGACGATAACGCACAGAACAACCACAAGGAGCAAAACCGTAACTGATCAAACAAGCATTGGTAGTGAAAAAACCACTTTGCCGCTTTTGAAAATAGAACAAATGGATTTTCTAGGAAAAAGGTGAAGGGCAAACTTACACTTCTTATCACATACTCGTTCAAGGCGACCAAGAGAAGCTTCAGTAAATAAATGGGGAAGGCCAGGTGCACTTCTTAGCCTCAACAAACCATCAGCTGTGGTGAATTTTACCTGAAATGTCGAAAATAAAATAATTCTGGCATTACCGTCTCAATTAGCGCGGGTAAGAAGATAAGTATAAGGTCTATTTCGGAGCAAACGTAAACATGACCAGCTGCAAAAAATATGAAAAACGAGAAGAGTACAACACTTGGCTATCTGGCTGTCTACGAACAGGGACCTTTTTGGAAAATCTATTCTTTGCAGGCTGAAAAGTCTTTCATCCACTGTTGACCAAAGAAAAACAGTCTTTATTCCTAAACAAATACATATTTAAGTTGACTATACCAGTTCTGGGATGCAGAAATTTGACGAATTGGCATTTGTTCAGGGAAGCCACTGACAGATCTACAATCAGGAATCCTGAGTAAATTTGGAGTCAAACCACTGCCGGGAGCGAAAAATAACTTCAGGTTATTCATATTTATAAAGGCGGTCGGTAAAACACATTATTAAAAGTATTACATAGAGATTACTACGGCATGTTTAATGAAATCAAGGACCCCAGATCATTTGGTTGCTTTTCTGTCATATATTTTGTGGTAAGAATAGGCCTTAGGTCACGACGGACTTAGTTTATATCTGAAAAGCTGTGATTACGGATGTATCTCCGGGAGCGAGCCTACGCGTTATGGGTACGTAGTGCAGTCTTTACCATTTGACGTCGCATACGCAGTCTAGGATCTAATCGATCCTATTCCTAAAGAGGAGCCCTATACTAGATTGAAACAGGCTATCCTTAAGCGCACGGCACAATCTGCCGGTAGCAAACTCAACCAGCTCCTCAACAATATAGAGCTCGGTGATAAGACACCCTCCGCTTTCATGTGACACATGCGTCACTTGCTAGCTAGTCGCACGTTAGATGACACTTTATTCTGCCGCATCTGGATGGACAAGCTGCCACATCCGATGCAGTAGGTCCTGGCACTGCTTGATGACATTGTCCCGCTGTACAAACTCGCTGAGCATGCTGATCGAATCCAGCCATGCTATCCCGGTTCTAGCTCGTACTCCGTCCATCATGCATCGACCTCGCAGACTAGCCATGCTGTCTCTCAGGTTTCCATGTACCGATCCTTTCGTAAACCTGATCGCCGTGTTTCGCAACCGGCGGCCAAGTCCCGTGGTAGGTCGTCCCTGCAGTCGAGTTCACCCGCCAACCCAATTCGTGATGTTTCTGCCAACAGAGACGATGACCTACAGGATCTTAAAGATACTGTCAGGTTATTGTGCTCCCAAATGAGCACAATTTGCTCCACACTCAATCGTTTGCAATCCGGTCATGGCCCTGCCAACCACAAACGCCCTAAATCAAAAGAGCGTGCAGACGACAAAATCTGTTAATACCATCGTACGTACGGCCGGATGCTATTTAATGCATCCCGCCCTGCAGATATGCTAAAAGTTCCCATTCGGGAGACGACGCCGCCAGCCAGTAATGGCGACGACTGTTGCTGGCTACTCGCGACCCACTCGCCTGTTTTATGTTTCCGACAAGTCTACCGGGCTCCGTTTCCTGGTCGATACCGGTGCCAAGGTGAGCGTTTTACCGAGTACTCGACGTCATCGTCTTCAGTCTTCGCAGTTGGCACTGCGGGCCGCGAACAA